TGTGCCTTCAATGGTGGTAGAAGAGGGAGAACCGGAGCCGGACGCTGGGCTGTCTTCCGCCCAACAAGCTTGCCTTCTGTGGTCATAAGCCTTCCGTCTCAGGGCCGCCGCCGTGAGGACCCGTGACCACCGCCTGGAGATCGACACACGTCACCGTGCAGCAAAGGGAATGAGCTCACCACCCCGGCTGCATCGCAGAGGTGGTCTGAAATCAGGAGATGGGGGGGAGCGGGGCTGGAATTACTTCCCTAATGGACCAGCCCTCCCCAGACCCAGGCTCTTGGCCCAATCCCACGTGCACTGTGCAGGGACGAGCTCATGTTGCAGCGGGAACAAGCTCTGTGCTTCCTCCAAATGCTCAGTCTTGCCCCAGGAAAGCTGCTCCAGCATCCCGGGCTTGAAACGGGGCTCCCCGTGGTCGGCTGACCAGAGAAACAACTCAGAGATCCAGCCAGCCCCGCACGCCGCCTCAAACAGCAGGAAGGCAACACCGTCGGAAAACTGTTTTTCACACGTTCTGACCCCAAAGGGACCAGGGCATAATGTGCTCTCTTCGGAAAGATGACGCAGGTGACCTTCAGCAGGTGGATGGATGATGCGTAAGGTGCAGTCTGTTCAGGCAAGGGGAGTATTAGTCAGTGCTAAAGAGAAATGATCTATCAAGCCGTGAGAAGCCACAAAGTTACCTTACGTGCATGCTGAGAAGGGAAGGGAGCCGGTCTGAAAAGGCTCCATCCTGTGTGCTTCCGGCTCTAGGACATTCCAGAAAAGGCAAAACCGCGGACACAGGAGAAAGATCAGTGGTCGGCCAGGGATGGGGGACGAGGGATGGGCAGGTGCAGCACTGAGGATTTTTAGGGAGGTGCCAGTCGTCTGCGTGACTCAATAACGATGCACACGTGTCATGGCACATGTCTGCAAACCCACAGTATGTACAACCCCAAGAAGAAGCCCTAACGTAAAGTATATGCATGTGCGTGCTAATGATGTGTTGGTGCGAGTTCGCCGATTGTAGGAAACGTACCGTCTATGGGGCAGGTATGGATGCTGGGGAGGCTACGCATGTGTGTGGTCATGGGGGTACGTGGGACATTTCTGTATGTTCCCCTCAATGTTGCTACTGGACATATTTAATTGCATGCCGGATATGTTTTTATTTTAGGCTGTACCTAAAACCACTCTAAAAATAAAAAATAAAATCTATTAATTAAAAAACAAACATGATGTTGAGGAAGGGTGAACACCCACGGACACAGCCGTCTGGGGAGGGTCCCCGGTGGTGGTGTGAGGGTAAATGGGAAGAAGACAACATGCCCCGTGTGGAAAACACAGAGGGTGGTTTCCGGGCGTGTTGTTGGTATTTCCAAGGAGCACCGTTGTGCAAGGAGGGTTTGCTCCCTACTGTGCGCTGAGGGCAAACCATGAGCACTATGGGAAAGCAGTGTGGTTCCTGGGGAGCGTGGATGGGGGATGTGACGGTTGGGACCCAGCCCAGCGGCACCCACTCAGGTACTTGTAGGAGCCAGCTCGAGTGAGGGTTCATCACACATGGATTGAGGGAAGCTCAGAGAGCTGGTGACACATTCCTCCTGGGTGTGTCTGTCTGTGAGGGTGTTTCTGGAAGAGATGAGCATTGCATCTGGTGCAGAGTAAAGCCAAGGGCCTTCTGCACTGTGGGTGGGCCTCGTCTAATCAGTTGACGGTCTGAAACGCATCAGAGAACGTGCAGGAAGGGGGAGAACGCGTCACACGAGCTATGGGTTCTGTTTCCCTACACATCGCTGACTCACACAGCCTGCATAACACCCTAGAAAGGAGCGGCTTTAAAACGACACACGTTTACTTCTCGAGGTCCTGGAGGCTGGAAGTGGGAGATCCAGGTGCCCGCTGGTTCAGTGTCTGGTGAAAACCCACCCCCTGGTTTGTCAACGGCTACCTTTTTGCTCTGACCTCACATGATGAAGAGACAGAGCTCCAGCATCTCTCCAGACTCCTTTCCTCCACGACCATCACTCCCTGCTCTGCCCGCCATGACCCCGACTGTGTATCTGCACCTCCTGTCCAACCACGGGTCCAGGCCTAATGCGTTCAAACTCCTTACTGGGGTGGCCAGGAAAAGACAAGGCCAGGGAGGGGCTCAGCCAGCCTGCCACCCACACCCTCGCCAGCCCCTCCAAGGGGGTGTCCTTCATGCTGGACACCAGCCAGGCAGCCTGTTTTGGCTCAGATGCCTGCACCCTGGTGTCTTTGCCCTGCCTGGACCTCCCCGTGTGTGCCCCTCTGGAGAACCCCTCTCCAGGCTCACAGCCCAGCCTGTAAGGAACAGGCTCCTCTTTGGGGAGGTCCCAAGGCAGCCAACATCCACTCTGCACATCCCCTGCAGGGCCCTGCCTTAGTGTCCCCTGCAGGCGGCTGACATTGCAGTCTGCTGACCTGACCCTAATGTCTTATCTCCCTAGCCAAATGTGTGTGAAGGGTTGGGAGCCACGCCAGCCTAGGAGGCAGGGGACCAGGCACTGAGTGCAGATGGATGCTCTACCCTCCTCCCCTGGCACAGAAGCTTGAAAGGTCCAGTCCTTGGACGTTCCCTGTGACCTGGGGAGGCCTGACTGTAGGAATCACATGGTTCCTTCCAGAACGATTTAGAAAGTGAGCAAAACTGCAAATCTGCGACACATCAATTGATGACAGCTGTCCCGTAAGGAAACATCATCAACCCATTAAATGTCATGGAGGTAGAATAAAAGTCACTCAATGCACCTTCAGTTTAACCACAAAACTATAGGATGGATGGATGGATGGATGGATGGATGGATGGATGGATGGATGGA